GCTCCACCCAAAAGATATTGTAGAATAAAATTTTATATTCTATTTTGAACACTTTCTTAAACTATTGCAAAAGGAAAACTATTATGATTCTACCTCCCGTTCCCCCATGGACCTGTAGGTGACTCCCACACTCTTGGGATTCGCTAAAGCTTTTCCGAAATTCCATCTTGTTCAGGAATGTTTCCCATGGTTTCCATCTGACACTGAGAAGAAAGATTTGATGGAGAATGGATCATCATATAAATCATTAAAATCATTGATTGATGAATTAGTAGACAAGATTTGAGGGTGAAATAAAGCTAAGTGGCTTTACTTGACTTTTGTATGATGAAATGAAATTGCAATTGTCTCTTCTTCATTTCAATTCGGAAGATATTTTAAATTTGAATAGTATAGGCATAAATCTTCCCATTTATTTTTAACATTCTTTAAACCACCCCCGACCGACCAAAAAAAAAAAAAAAATATATATATATATATATATATTATGTATGGGAGGAAAATTGTGGTATAGTTATAGTAATTAAAACTTTAAAAGTCAGGGTATGAAGCATTTCGTCTCCAAATTTGCAAATTTTCTTATTTAAGAACACCACTGCTATTGAAAAGGCCAAAAAAAATAAAAAATAAAATAAAATAAAATAAAAAAAAGAACAGAGTTTGTGGGCAAGACATCTGTCCCAAATAGGATAAAATCTTATTTTGAGCCTTAACTATAAATTTAGGACTGAATATCTAGTAAATTTAATCATTCAATTTTCTCAAATAAAAATGGCCAAACACAATCCTATCTATCACTTAAGTTACAAATACAAATGGAATCATGTAAATCATCCCAATGTCTTCATTTTTCCAAACATCCACTAGTTAATTTAATCCACCATACACTTAAACCGAAAACAGCATCTAGAACTTAATTAAGTTTGATCTGAATTACAAGTCTTAAACTAAATAAGATTTCACTATATCTAGCAATCCTAAAACATTCATTCCAATCATGAACGATGACCGCCCCCGTTCGCATGTAACATTTCATCAATCTCATCTCCTTTCTTTGATCTAGCCTACAAATGAACTAAAAATATTCCGTTAGAATCAAAGTCTAAGGCAGCAGTATGCAAAGCAACATTGAAGGGAGGTGAAAACTTGTGTTGTTTGGAGAAAGTACCTCAATTATCGTTTCAATTCCTCGGCCAATCAATCCACAAATTCGACAAACATAGCCAAGATCGTTGGCCGAATTTGTGTCCTCTTCCCCGCCAACATGAAGATGGGATCTTGGCTGAATTTATGTCCTCTTCCACATCAACATGAACACCTTGATCTTCACTAGTCTTGGCCTTATCATCATCATCCTCTTCCACACCAACATAGACAGAAGAATATGACTAACTAATAAAACTTATAGAGCAAGTTTATTGTCATGTATAACAATGAATTTTCATAAAAGGAAGATTTAGGATCAGTATTCATCAATATGTAGTACAACATTGAAAACGAAGTACCTATGCAAAAGGATTCTGCCAAATAATCATTCATAGGACTCTTCATACAGGCAACCCTTGTTGATGATAGTTAGGTTGAAATTTTGGGCTGAGATGCTTAATTGGATACCCCTTGGTTGCATCCACAAAAGGCTGACTATACATAATCAGTCAAAAACTAGAAAGAAGATGATAGAATCCAAAAAGATTAAACTATGTTTCTATTTCCAATGAGCAACATGAAATTTCATTAAAAAAAATTCTCCACCAGTGAATTACAAATAACAAATAACTGCTTTAACTACTTCTCTTACCTGCTTGCAATTCTCCTATCTCATTCATGCTTTTAGACTTTATGGTCTGCTAGACTGTAATATCATGACTGCAATTCACATAAATAACAGAAAACCCGAGTATGAATATCTCAAGCATAGGTATTCTTAAAGCAGAATTGACTGTCCCTAACTATGAGCAAAACAATTGAAAGGTGAAATACCTAAACATGGTCAGGAAGTCATCGACAGGTCCTTTAATGTAGCTAGAACTCCAGAAATTCAAAGTTAAGATGCATTGATAACTTGTTGATTGCATTTATAGCTGCCCAAGAAATACAAGGATTGACGATTTCAACAAATTTGGACTAGGCTGTCTTAATTTAATCTATAGCCTACAACAATTAGAGAAAGAGAAAGGCTTAGCCACACTTATAGAACCAACGCCCAAATATATGATAAAGCAATAGCCAGTTAAATTTAATACCTTCAGTTGCATTGTTTATTAATCATAACTTCTATTCTTTATTAATAATCATATGTTTAGAAACTTGGAACCTGAAAAGATTGAAATAGAGCTTCCTCCATGCCACTGACCATCTAGCATGCAGTTTGCTTGCTAGCGTTACATGCAAGAGATATTTTACCGGTTGAAGCACACAGTTATTAACAATTAAAAAATTGCTTGGCCTTAGATAGCGATACGTGATTATTTCCGTGGGATAGGATACATAAAGTGTATTATATATCTTCACAAAACTATGGAGTCTAAATATGAGAAAATCTTGCAATGTTATATGTATGTTATCATACGAACACAAATAATCCAGTAGCTAGGAATCTTACTGTAAAACACAATTTCTGATTCCAGTAGGTGAGACCCTGCAATGTTCCAAATCCTATTGCGGAAACACAAGACTAATATGTTAATAACTGCCATAACTTTAATAACTAAGCAACTAACAAGCACTGCTAGTTTATCAATTCTCAAAAATAGAGAAGTTAAAGAACATATGTTTCTCTGCTGAGAAACTAATATATTCCCCTGTAACAATATAACTTAATAAAATAATAATTAGCAAGAATGATTGAAACGTACAAAATCATATAAGATGTCATACGGCCAATTACCTCGTCCAGTTTGTATGCATCAACATAAAGTAACAATTGCTTGCAGAAACCGATATGGTGAATTGACGGAGCCTTTTCACTTCGCAATGTTGCTTGATATTAAACATTTCTTCATAACATGCCATGACTGTTTGTTGCAGCTTGAAAAGAAAAGGATTTAAAAATGATTTTTGACTAACAATTTATTACAAACTTATAGATTCAAGATTATATAACAATTCCTATGGCCAGATTACCTAATCCAATTTAGATCCAACAACAAAACATAACAATTGCTTAAAAGTGCAATGGTGCCTGATATTCAACACTTCTTTCACAAGATGTCTTCAGTGCGGGATTACCTAGTTGCTATAGCAGGAAGAAGAGAAGCGAAAAAAAAAAAAAAAAACTTTAGCATGATCTAACTTTAAAAGAACAACACAAAGTCACATTAATGAAAATGAAGTAATAATGATCAAAATTCTCTTGAAAATAGTATGTAAGACCAGATTATGAAGTTAAAAATTCCATACCATGTGCAGGGGATGTTAAAGCTGATCAATGTTTATTTTCTGGTAATTGATCAATGTTTATATTCAGAGAAAGACTAAAGGAATCTTTCACTTGGTGAGAGCTAAGATTTGAGAGACGTTGGTCAAAACTGGAGGAGATGATAATGAGCTATCAATTCACTCCAACTTCTTTCGGGAACATAACAAGTTGTTGGTGTGTTTATTTGTGGTAATTGTTATTAACAACCACTAATTTTTTATTCAAAACAAATCATTAAAAGGGAAAAGAGAGAATATTACCTGTGTTTTGAAGGAAAATCAATGTAGAAGTTGATAATTTCAGAGAACTTAATCAGTATTAGTATCGAGCTTCAAGAAGAGGACAATGATTTATTTCCTTCTTCAACGTTGTCATCTGATGAAGGTGGTTTGGTAGAGACTTCAATTTGGTGCAGCCAAGCATTTTCAAGGTCTGAAGAGATGGCATGACTATAATATCTTTATCTTCTCTCTTTATAATCTCATAACTCTCCACTCTCCCATTCCTCATCCCTGGAGCGTAGAAATTTTAGTTTGGGAAAGCAAAATTGATTGATGATGAACGTGACATCACTCTCTATTCCCAAACTCATTACTCACTCTTTTCACACTCTTTAGTAGTTAATAAAAGGATTTCAGGAATGATAACTTACCCAAAGGAGGCAGATGCTCACAGTTTACACAATTAGAAAGACTTAACTTTCTCAAATTGTTGATGACATCATCCAATCAGGGAAATAGAGTTGCCACTGTAATTTCGTAGCTCTAATATCTCTAAATTTGAGTGTGGTTGCAACTCCTTAAGAAGTTGTTGATTTTGCTCCTCATCATCTTCCCCTCAAAGTCTACCCACAAATCACGCAAGTTTTTCTTATTTGTTAATTCTATTCCCTTAACCCCATTCACATCTCTCAAATTCCCTAACCCTTTTTATCCAGTCCTCGAAGGTGTTTGAAGTTTTTTAGACATTCAACAAACATTCTTCACTACCATAACTACCCTCACTTATACAAATATTCCTAATTTTCGAGACAGTTAATCTCTCCAAACTTTTTGGCAGGTAACTTATACTACTTCAGTTCTCCAATTAAACAAATGTCTCAGTTGATTAAGTTTCCAATCCCTTCAGGTAGTTTTTTGACATTATAACAATCACTTATGCCTAAGGTTTGTAAATTATATAATTCACACAATGTCTCAGGCAATTCTTTTATGTTTCTATTCCAAGACAAATCAAGGTATCTCAGTGTCTAATTTTTTTATTTCTACATGAATTTTCTCGATTGGGCACTTATTCAAAGATAATGACCTTAGACATGTAATTGATCAACTAATTTGACAAAACTACTTAGGGTCACTACCATAATTACAACCAACCACAAGACTACGTAGAAAAATATTTCTAGTATAAATAGAGCTAGAAAATGAGGCCCCTCCTTGAATGTTTATCATTATGTCTAACTTTATCATAGAAGATTCTAATTCAATTTCTCCTTTACCATCTGCCTCTATTGTATAACATTCATTTTGGTAAGAATTGAGCTAAATCATGTACTATATCATGCATCTTACAAGAACGTATATCAATAATGTTCTTCTTTTTGAAAATCTTGAAACAAAGAACGTATTGCTAACATTTCAAAATACTCCTCACCAACTAACTCCATATCCTTATTTGCCTCTGACCTTAGATAACCTTGTGACATCCATAACTTGATCAATACATCTTTCTTTATCACATAATCCTTTGAAAAAATAGCACAATATGAGAAACACTTTTTCAATATAGAGGACAAATCATTATAGCTAAATAATAGAGGTGGAAAAATCTTTTGTTCTACCTCTTTTAATTCCCTTATTTCACTATTTAAGACACTTTCCCACTCCTCAAATCTTCTTTTAAAGCGCAAAAGACTACGTAAAGCCTTTACAGCAAGAGGCAAACCTTTACACTTTTTAACAATTTTTTTACCGATTTCTTCAAACTCTCTATTCGTTTTTCCAGAAAATGCAAGTTGACAAAACAAGGACCAACATTCCTCCTTGGGAAGTATCCCTAGTGAGATTATGTTGGTGGTTCCAATGGCATTTGCAACATTCTCCTTACGTGTGGTCACTAAAATTCTACTTTCTAGATATCCACACCTGAGAGTATATTTTAAATTTTCCCAATTTTCAGAATTTTCAGTCCATACATCATCTAAGACAACAAGAAACTTCTTTCCCTCAATTTCTCGACCTATGTTTTGCATTACAGTTTCTAATTCAACTAATTGTGATGGACTATTTGTGAGAGATTCAAGGATTGCTTTTGCAATCCTGAGCTCATCGAAAGGCTCAGAAACACACACCCATATTTTTTTTATCAAAATTTGTGTTCACCTTATCATCATTAAAAACTAATCGAGCAAGAGTTGTCTTGCCGATTCCTCCCATCCCTACTATCGAGATTATGGGGAGGACTTGTTGTTGACTACTTTGACTCAAGAGCAAATCGACTAGTGAATTCTTATCATTATCTCTTCCACTAACCTCCTTTAAATCAATAAAAGAGGTTGTCTTTGGTCGTTCTACTTCTTTGTTATTCTCAGTGATTGATCTAAAGTTGAACCTCTCTTTCTCAATAGCAATAATATCTAATTTTCTATTGAGACCTTTTATCTTAACTGCAATGTCATAACGCACAACGAATGGCCTACAACTGAGATAGTAAGAAACAAGGGACCATACCTTTTTTAGAGGCTTAGAAGCATCTTCAGCTTTCTTAATTCTTAATTTTTGAAGCTTCGTGTTCCACTCATCCAACACATCATCTATGTCATAGGACACGTCTCTCAGCTTGGCTAACCATACTCTCACAGTATTCTCCTTCACCTGTCGGCTCTCAGCATCAACAAGCAGAGCTTGAATGGACAGGAAGTTGCTTTGAAGCTTCTCAACTTCTTGCTCAGCACCCACAATCAGGCTTATCCCTTCTTCTGTTTGTTGACGAATGATTGAAACAAATTGTTCCAACACTATCTCCACAAGCGCTTCAGCCATATTGAATGATGGTAAAGTGATTAAACAGAGAATGATCAGAATCAAAATATTTGGTTTGCTTATGTTGTGATAGTGTTGTAACTTCCATTCAACTTTTATAGTGCATGGAAAAGACCAAGTAACAATTCCAAATTACCAAAGTTCTGCTTTGAAACTAGTTAAGGTATAAGTGTTGTTCAAGCGATTTCTTCATTCTTTTCTTTGATCATATTTTTTTTTACTTTATTGCACAATCTGTACTGTTTGTTTTTGCTGAAACGGTATATATTATTACTATAAAATAGCATTAGATATAATAAATTAAGAGTCTGATTAAGGGGTTAATAATAGGAAGTCTCTTCTATCTACAAATTATCATAAAGATAAAAGAATAGTTCACAGAATAGTTCAAAAAATCTATTGATTTTAAGTATCAAACTTTCGACAAGCTGCTCTTGAAGAAAGAAAGAATGTGATGCAAAATATAGAAGACACTTTTAAAGGAAAGAATTTAACTGATTTATTATGAGGAGAAGATGTTTACTTAAAGAATAATTATGTGAATCTGGAAAAGTAAAAGCTCAGTAAAATCTCATGCTTTTTCCTCTGTTTTGACATAGAAAATACATGGCCTTGATGAATTATTGTATGAATTTGATTTTTTTTTTTTTGTTTTTTTTTTTATTTATGAGGCAGGGGTATTTAAGTCTTTTTATCTACTATTAAATTATAGTAAATAACAGTAGCTCTCTCTTTTGAATTATCTAAAAATTTTATACTTTTTTCATGAGTTTTTGAAGAATATTTGTCTCCAAATAATAAAACCCCATGATAAAAGTCATAATATATTGGTGATGACAATATTATTTTAGGGGTATTATTGTCATGTACTTCTATATGTCTATCCTTCTTGCACATTTCTCCTCTGAACAGCTTATCTCATTCATGCTTGTATTCTACTTCATGCATATTTCTTCTTCAAATCTGTTCAGAGTTCAGATAACTGGAATAACACCTCTTCTTCTTCTTCTTCTTCTTCCTCTTCATACGGATAGTGTTTCGATCATACGCGTTCATTCTATAAATATAATCCATTAAATAATCAAAATTTAGGCAAAAATTCAAATATTTAAAAAAAAAAAAAAAAATCAGTGGGCAACTTTTGGGAGCTCAGAATTAGTGCCATACTAAAAGGATGTAACAAATTGCAAATGCTAGATGGTTCCGATCTTGAATACCCAGGTGTGTACATAAATGTCAATAAATTAATGTCAATTTACAATTAACTTCTCCTCATTCTTCATTCTTTTACACTTAATATTTCCATTTTTTAGGTGCGGTGCTGCAGTTGTTCACACATTATGGAAGCTGATGTGGGCAGTCATAATAGTTTACTAGGCATTTTTTATCCAAAATCATACAATGCCAAATTGCAGAGGCGTCCAATGCCCTAAAACTAAACATACATGAAGTTTGAGTGAACAGCACTTAAAATCCCAGCTTCCCTTCCATCTCTGGTGTACAATGCCACCACCACTTCTCAGAAAATTTTCATGCATGACTTAACTATGGCATATTACATGCTGCCTATCTATTCACTCTGTCTCGATCGTGCAAATCCTCTCGACTGTTGCATATTCGAGCTAAATGCCACAAACAGCATGACTCAGCAATTAACTTGCTACTTGTTCCTCTAAAATGGGCTGTGTAGAAGAAACAGTTGAGAATCCCAGCTTTCCCATGACTTCTTCCAAGCGTTTTGCATTTGTCAGGTACAGATAACCAACCAGTGTACAAGAACCAGTTAAGGCATACAATTAACGGGAACCCAGAGTGAAAATTAATGCATTTTTAAATGCAATGAAAAAAAAAAAGCACTTAAACCGAAAACAGTATCCAGAACTTAATTAAGTTTGATCTGAATTACAAGTCTTAAACTCAATAAGATTTCACTATATCTAGCAATCCTAAAACATTCATTCCAATCATGAACGACGACGGTCTCTGTTCGCATGTAGCATTTCATCAATCTCATCTCTTTCCTTTGATCTAGCCTACAAACGAAGTAAAAATATTCCGTTATAATCAAAGTCTAAGGCAGCAGTATGAAAATGCATAGTAACATTGAAGGGAGGTGAAAACTTGTGTTGTTTGGAGAAAGTATGGAACTAAATGAATAAACAACAATAATCTTACCTTGTTGAAATGGACCTCAATTATCGTTTCAATTCCTCGGCCAATCAATCCACAAATTCAACAAACATAGCCAAGATCATTGATGTCTTATACGTAAAATGGGATTACATTGTTTGTGTTGGAATGATAATTCAGAAAACACAAGTGAAGACAGCAAACTTTTGGTAAAGTAAAGGAGAAAAGGAAGCAGCTTAACATCTCTGCTTCTTAACTAACAACTTAAACCAAAACGACATCACTTTGGCTAATTACAGGTCGCCCCTTATTCTTTGACACTTTACAAACTACTACTCAATATTCTAACGCTCCCCTTTAAACCCAGCTCTCTCAAGTGTCAAGTCTCACTCGACTTCTCTCAAGTATCTCAGTCGACTTCTCTTGACCTGTATTTTCTGAATTATCATTCCAACAGTTTGGTTGTAGACTTGTAGTGAGGAATTTTGATGAAATGGAAAAAAAAAACAAAAGTTTTTGAAAAAAATATACTCAATTTATTTTATGTAATAAATCTAAATTTTATTTTCTATTTAAATAAAAATATTAATAATTTAGAAATTTTTGAAAATTTCAAAAATTAATAAAAATATTTTAAAAACATATTAAACCTAACCTCTTCGTTTGATAGTTAGATTTTTCTTTAAGGATATGTAAGATAGAACTAGCATTTTACTTGACAAATTAGCCACAATTATACTTACCTTATTTTTTGTTTGAAAGTGTTTTTCACAAAATTTCGTTTTGAGTAGAAGTAATTTTGAAAAAGAGAAAACAAAATAAGTAGAAATACTTTGAAAATTTTATTTGAAAAATGGGTTATCATTTAATATATGAAATTTACAACACATTTTGACAACAACTAGTATAATATTTATTTTTTATTTTTATTTTTTTGTTTGGCTAATTAATAACATTATTTGGAAATGAAGGAATGTATGGGTTTGGGTCGGATAGCCCATTACCCGACCCAATCCAATTGGGACAGGCCTGTAACTACAGTGATATTTAAATGGAGTAATAGTGACAAAAGTTGGGCTCATTTAAAGGAGATAGGCTTGAGTTGAGTCCCATCTCACACTAATAAAACATTCCACTTATTCCATACAAAATTTCCATATTAAAAAAAAAAAAAAAAAAAACCTTACAGTGATCAAGTCCTAAAAACAGTTGTTAAAAAGATAAAATTAAGTAAACCCTTATTGATAATTACCTTCGAAACCATAAATTGACTTGTTTACTCACTATTTCTATGGTAAAAGAAGTCGATTTTCAGTCGAAAGAGTTCAACAATTTGTCTTTTAGCAAACCCCTTTCGTCCACATTTAAAGTATCTTGGGTTAAGGTAATATGTGAAATTTTGTGTTTGAAATTCGAAATTTAGGGTTTTCAAACTTTTTTTAAATTTTGGACTCCTGAATAACGTAGCCGACAAGTGACGTGACATATGATGTCATATCTGTCACGTCGACTGCCATGTAAGGGAGTAAGAAACTTTAACAACCATGTTACAAATCATTCTTATATCTTCCTCAAGATAACTCGTTGCATCTATGTTTCGTCTTGATGATTATATTTAAATATTGTTTCTCATTACTGATTTTTTTTTTTTTTTGGTCTAGATTTTCTTGTTCAATGTTTTAGGAGTAATACTATTCGTTTCCAATACTTGTGTGATCATATAAGCATTGTTAAGTCATTCAATGTATCATCAATTTATTTACATATCAATATCACACATGCTTGACACATTAGAAGGGAAAGGAAAGTTGAGATAAGTTTTGGGAAGAGTAGCATTATTGATGTCTTATATATAATTCTCTGCATGTGGTAAAAACTTAAAATCAATGATTTTCCGAATTTTAGACAAGCAACTCAAGCCCATTTTTCTGATTTTATATGAAAAAAAAACAAAAAATACGAGCTAAGTGGATAAGATTTCATTAGAAAGACAAAATTAGAAGCATTTGGTATCAAAATATAGACATTAGATAAGTACCATGAAAGAGGTTAAAAATTTGACAATATATAATAATGATATTAGAGTTTTAATTTTGTTGCTTCTCACCTTTTTTTTTTTTTTTTTTTTTTTTTTTTTAGCTAATTTATAGTCAATAATGGAGATATGTTAACCTCTTTTTAAGAGCAATTGCGAGAGATAAAAGAAGAGTGAATTTCTTATGTCCCTCGTAAAGCGAATGTTGTAACTCATGAAGTTGCTTGATTGTCTCTTGTTAATTTATCTATTAACTTCACCGGAACTAGTTGATTAGTTCATACAAGGCGTTGTTGATTCAGACTTGATTTTCTTTCACACTTAGGTGTTTCTCTTCATTTGTTTAGTTCGTACATAATTATCTCTTCATCACTTTGTAAGTTATATATTAATGGAATCACAACTGTTTTAAGTACTTATGAGAAGAAGAAGCAAAATGTTATGTTAATATTCTTGTTGACGTTTTTTTTAGATTTTCTGCAAATCAATTTTGATGTGTGTCAAAGATGTGTTGCAACATTATTGACAACGTTTCTTTTGTTAATATTCAAGATGTATTGAAGAACCTGAAATTTTGTTTTTGTTTACTCCATCCTTTTTGAATTCAATAAAGAATTTGCATTAGATATGCAGAGACTATGCATAACCCACCATTAATTCTTTTAACTAGCATATTTAACAATTGATATATTTAATTCAAGACAAAAACAAGATCCACAACCATGGACTTCTAAATAAAATAACTAGGGTGCGTTTGGTTCATTATTTTGGATATGATTTTGGGAATAATATTGGGTAGTTGGATAGGGGAGTATTACGAGGTAAACTTTAAAAT